GGCACCCCCACAAGTAACCTCACCTTTCGATAACAAGGAAATTGTTTCAACTCATCATTCAAGTGTAAAACAAATATCTGTCCAGATCTTCCTTCCGTTCAACCCTCAGTGTTTTTGAGACATCAAGGACATTTAGACATGTGCTTGGTTTTATATTGGGTTTTTCTTTGGCCCGTTCTAGTTCATTTGCACTTTCTGAGACATCACTTGAGTTTGGCGCTAGAAGAATTTCATCGCACAATTCAGGCGGTAAGCAAAACTATTGTATACACATTCAATTTCAGATTGTACAAAACAGTTTCATGTTAACTTAGTCAACTCTTTTGAAATCTAGCCATTGACAGAATACGGCTGTGAACTTGCATTTTTTCCAAAGTTTAAAGACCGATTTACTTTGTTTCTGTATGATGGATCCTTTACCAATAAATATGCGTATAATTAAATCGATGGGACTTCTATATCGTTTTTACTCACCACTCCGTGTATCGTTTCGTCCAGCATTATAAAGGTTACGTAAAAGAAGAAAGCCCTACACAAGAAAACCAAAATGTTCCTTATAATCGAATATGAATATGAATGTAATACACAAGATAAACAGCTATTTCAAACGTGATGGAAGTAAAAATGGAAGTAGTGTTAGTTAGAAACTAAAAACAAAAAACAAAATAAAAACCATAAAACGCAAGCGAAGAAGATCAAATAGCCTCGGTGAATTATAAATTTCAATCTCTGTTCTGACTGATGATCATAGCATCGCAAATAGTATAAACACTGACATTTTTTTCTTCAGACAGTAGAAGATTATGATAATTTTCCAATGCCTCACTGCACATCTACTTCAAAACTTATTAATCTATTGTTATACCTTCGACGTGTTTCAAACTCCTCAATGTTCTCTCAATGAAGCAAATTTCCTGGGTCAGATGATATTCCACCAATATTCTTGAAGAATTGTCCTCGGTCTGACGCACCTTGGATTAAATACATTTTTCTTGGTCTTTCTCACAGGATACTAGAATGAACAACTTATCAACTTATATATAACTCACCTTTTTTCAAAAAGTTTGATGAACACTGCAGGAAAAATTCTCGTCCCATCTTTCTCACCAATATTATATGTAAAATTAGTAAAATTAATGTTGGGAATAGAACTATAAATTTCCGATATATAGAGTGCATGTCACATAAGCATGAAACAATTCTTAATATGTATTGCTAAATAAGATTTAGTTATCAACTAACTAAGAATTCAACAAAGCATAAACACAATGCCAATTATTTAAATTCCTTTGTAGCATTGTTCTCAATTCTTAGTTAGTTGATAACTAAATCTTATTTAGCACTACATAGTTAAGAATTGTTTCATGCTTATGTGACTTGCACTCTANAAAAGGCTGTATACATTTAATATAAAAATATAAAAATATAGCTGAAAATATATACGCAAAAGAAAAAAGCCCTGCACAAGAAAACCAAAATGTTCCTTATAATCAAATATGAATATACACAATAGAACTATAAATTTCTGATATATACAGTACAGCATCAGTCTGCTTAGTGAGTAGCTATTGTGGATTTCTCGAGAACTGTTATAGTCCACGTCCAGCTGTTGTCTATTTTCTAGATCTGCACCTTGTTGTGAAAACGTCRTATTGAGAAATTGAAAATTTGTATTCAGTACTAAATTTAATAGACAAAGCAAAGCGAATATAAAGTGGAGAAGATGAACTGAAGACTCTGTGTTTACAGCCGGCCATGAGACCGGCTTGCTAATCAATTCTTTCATAACATATAATGCTGAGTACGTTGTTTTTTATTATTTTTYATTCCACGAAGTATTTTTCAGTCCAACTCTTCGACTACTACACTTTGATAATAGCTGTAATATTGATCTTATAAATTATTTGTTTGACTGTCCAAGCTTATACAAGCTTATGCAGAAGCCACACAATAAATATGCTGACAATATTGGAATAAATATTTGAAATATTTATATACTAATATCTTGTACTCGTGAGAGCACAGTGCAGTAGCATACCAACACGATTTCAGTAAGTAAACAATTAAAATTAGGAAGCTAAGTGTTAGAAGTGTTTTATATCATCAATTTCGTCGCAGTATTCACAGATCTTATTAGCTGTAAAACTTTTTAAAGCTGAAAACTCAGCCTTGTCCCACTTCATTTACTAGCAAGACTAGAAAACTTATAAAAAACAACGACAAAAGTATATACAAATTTTATGGATATACTGAAATTTAACTAAAGTATAAATGATTCACTAGCAGATTAGGCAGATATCATCAAGCAGAACCCCGAGTTCACGCAGCTATGCGTCTAGTTATGGTTATCGTTCTTTTAGTGTTGCTGACATTTTCTATGGAATTCACTGCCATCCTCAATCAGAGACATTTCTTCACTTGATAATTTTAAAACTGCTCTTACAACCTTCTTATTTAAAAAAACTTATGATCTTTAACTCTATTGTAACCGCTTTCTTTATCTTAATTTTTACCTTTTTATTTGTGCTTAGAAAAAGTTATATAAGCGTTTTATAAGCTTAGATTATGATTTATTATTATTATCGTTATTATTAGTTAAGATTGTCCAGACATACTAAAAGCTTGAATTTTAAGAGCCCCTTTCAGGGGTTATTGGGAACATGGGAACAAGGGCATTTTTTCATGGGAACATGGGATATTAAAAGATTATTTTACGGGATAAAGGAATATTAGATGCCATAAATGGGAACAAGGGAACACAAATTTCAGTATTTAATAATTTTTTTTTTTTTTTTTACTTTGCAAACGAGACTTCAAAAATGCATACTTATATGTCCGATTTATTGTTGATATGTGACTTTTGAGACACGCAAAACATGCCGGAGTTTTATTCCTTCGACAAAAAAATGTGTTGATGCAGCCATGGAACTTATTTGTAGCAAAACAGTAACCAAAGGTCCACAAGGGACAACTCAAAAGTGATTATTTTCATTATGAATAGAAATTAGGGGTCATAAAATGACGTAGGAAGAGTAAGAAAATTTGAGGAACAAGGGCACATAGGGTAAAATAGTTTCAAGGAACAAAACAATTTTTTATGGTGAACAAGGGATAAAACGGGAAAAAATTAAGGGAACAAGGGAACTGGGAGGGGCTCTTTGAAAGATTAGCTATCACGCGTATCCACACATTTTATTATAAGTAATACCATGATTTCCATGTTTTTTACATGCTCCAATGATTTCAATCAAAAGTAAAAAAAAAAAGTTGTTTTCCAGCATTTGTAAGTAGTTTTTACATTTGCAAGTATAGTGCCAAGAAGCGTATCAACTTGATTATCAAACATTGAAATTCGTCAAGTGCACAATGCTCATCAGTACGAAACCAGAGCTACTCGGTCAATTTGGCCCAAAAATCATACCACATTTCAGTGTGACTGAGACGATAATCAGAGTGTTCATTGCAAAGAAAACATCTGTAGGGACATTCAGTTGTCCCTACTAGGAAGCCTTCCGTTTCTCATGAATAACATGAGGGACGATTAGTCTAATCTTCCCTCATGTTGTTATGCATGAGCCAGGGATGATTAGTCTAATCTTCCCTCGTGTTGTTATGCATGAGCCAGGGACGATTACTAGTTATCATAATCCCCAGTAGGAGGGCAAAATAATCCGAGGTGATCATGGTATTATTATAATTAGCGGCCATAATTTCTCAGTTCAATTGACCGGATGAGCCACTGATCTGTATGGAAGTGACTTGCTGGTCAATTATTTGCAACCGCGTCTAATAAGCAGAATATGATTTCCGGCGACGATTATTATTTGTGGCTACCAAATGTTCAATATGGAGGCATTGCARMATTTCATTAAAAGGCAACAAATTAATTTCTGTTCTTTTCAGGTTTTTCCAAATTCAGAACGAATGAAGGCTACGATTGCCTGAAGCAAGTCAAGTTCAAATTCAACGCTACTATTGCTACTATTGCTACAACATACATTTTAAGTGTCAYTATGTAGATTTGCTAAAATGTACCTAGGTATTTAATTGACACAAAGCAGGTATCTAAAAGTAACGGTGACTGCTCCAGTACTCAAAGTCACTCAAAATTGTCCTAGAATTGCTTTAAATTATATGTTTAGTGGTTTTGTGCAATATTTGCTAAAATCACCAAAAATCGCTGTGATGTTCGGCGAATTTGGGTCCCGAATACTCCTTCATTTTTCAACCACCTTTCCGATAATTATATCGCTGATCATTAGTAGAAGAATTGTTAAAGAAAATGATGTCTAAATGGCAATTGCCTTCTTTAATATTCATACATAAAAACAATTTTTTTTAAATATTTCATATTTACAATGATATTCGAATAATATGTTGTTTAGTTTAAACTAGACGATCACTGATCGTTTACATGGGCTTCTTCTAGTTTTTTTGATTCGGGGGACTAAGCAATTTTCTATTCACCTACTCGTATCATTCACTGTATTGTTTTTATCACCTGTTTGATTGTTTGCTATAAGCTATAGGAGCGGTAGCAATTTTTATGCCTTTTAATTCATATGTTTCTCTAAGTCCATGTAAACTTTGAAAATACTGCACCAAATTATTTGTAGACAATACATGCAATAGCACACAAGTCCCTTGTGGATGACTGTTACCATATATGTCTCTAGCATGCGAGTCAAATATCTTATAATGACCAGTATCAGGACAGTAAATAATGGCAACCCCTATACAACCAACAATTAAGATAAATGATCTGTACTGTTGTGATATCAATGACTCAATAGCTCTTTTAAGTCCCATACAATATTGATATCCATCTATACTAATATCACCATGTACATTACCAGTGTAGCTTACACTATAGTCTAGTCGATAATTTTCATCTAGTACTGTAAGCATTGTAGGCAATTCTGTTAACATTAAGAATGATTGTCGTGCTAATTGTGATAAATTGTTGTAGAGTTCATTTCCAATGTGCATTATTTGTTTTAAATCATTAGACGTTTGTATTCCTTTCATTTCATTA